TGCTAATATTAACGGATCAATGGATTGTTGATTGTAATATTAATATTGAATTATTATTATCGTTAACCACCAAATCCTATAATAATAAGCATAATAATAGTCATATATAGTAATAGGACATTTCCCGCCGATCTATAGGATTGTAAAACAGTAAAATTTACAAAGTAAAATTTTATATCGAATGTCTTCACACCCTCAGTTGACGCTCTTACTGTGTAGCAACCACCACCAAATTTGAGATATAACTTCTTTATCATATGTATCTACTTTATGAAAAACATTAAAGCAGGTTGTTAATAAAACCGAAAATAATCTGACCCTCAAAGTCAAATTTTGCCTTTATATTCATATGCGTAAAATTTTGTTTGACGCGTCCAATTGCAAGTATAAGCAGAAATAAATGTCCAAATATTACATTATTATGAATATTTACAGATTTTTGATCACTTAGGTATGTCTTTTATAGTAAAATCATTTATTTTAAAAGTAAATATAATAAATAAATAGATTTTAAAATTTTTCTTTACCTATATACATAAATAATGATTAGAATAATAAACAAGCAACAATGATGATTAAATTAAAAGGTGTTTTATCTCTGACTTTATTTATTTAATTATTTATCATAGTGATGTTATTAAATATAAGTTAAAATAAAAGATAAATTTATATACTTAAATAAATAATAAACACAACTATTAAATGATTGATAAAACGTTCGTTAGTATGTTTTGTTCATAGAGCTTGTCCTTAATGCTTACTTCGATCACTTCTATACAAACTGGATCTTAATCTTTATTATCATCCTCAAAAAAGATGATTCGTTGTCGTCGTTTGCATATTATTGTTTAATGTTGCTATAACAACTACTGATTGATGGATATTCATAATAATCATTAATGAAACTTTAATCAATATAAAGTCAGAAATATAAAACAATCACTAATAAAATACCTTTTAGTTTTTGCTGAATCCCATCTACATAAATTCTTCATGACTATTAAAATTTCTATAAAATAGTTTTTCGTGAACCTCTCTAAAACTTATTAACCAATACCCCCCATAAAGTAATGACCATATGAAAGCTTAAAGTATTCTACACCTTCTCATTTACTATCAAGTCTTTTAAAGCGATATTGAGAAATAATCTGAGGTTTGAAGTGAAAAAGTAATACCGTTTTTGAATAGCCGTGAATTCATGTAGAGGAGACCTTTCGGTATGAAAAAGTATTCATTAGAAAGCTTTAATGGAGTACTTTCATTTTAGTCTAACAACAAATTTCGAGTTTATTATAAAAATAACGAGATATTTTAAAAAAACTTCATGTGACACGAATTTCGAATTTATTTTCACATATAGAAAAGCAGTCTCAGGGAAATGTCACACGACTAATAAACAAATCTACAAAAATTTTCCGTTATACAAAATAATCTATATTAATATATACTAATACGTATATATATCCTGTAAATTTAAAATAAATGTTTGAATAAAAAAAAATATATTAATATTAATATAAATAATAATAATAATTCGAAACGAAAATTTTTTAAAAAAATAATTATAATCATTAACAAATAAAATAAATTCATAACTAATATATAATAAAAACTAAATTCATAATCAAACATATAAAAAATGGATCAAAATTATTCTGATAATATTAATAATAATATTGATATTAATGATATTGGTATTAATGATGTTGGTATTAATAATCAAGACTTTGTTACTAATGATTACAACAATTACGAAAATCAAACCACCGGCTACTACTACATCCATCAAAACCCTGGAGACAATAATTTCAGCCGCCAAAACCCTGAAGATAACAATTACATTCATCAAAGCCTTGGAGACAACAATTACATTCATCAAAGCCCTGGAGACGATAATTACATTCAGCAAAACCCTGGAGACGATAATTACATTGATCAAAGCCCTGGAGACGATAATTACATTCATCAAAACCCTGGAGACGATAATTACATTGATCAAAACCCTGGAGACGATAATTACATTCATCAAAACTCTAGCGGCGGTAATTTAATTCATCAAATTAATTTTTCCAATCAAATCCCGGGCATTAGTTTCGTTGGCCAAAGCTTCACAACCAACAATAATAACAACGATATTGTTGACCAGAATCCATCTATTACTACAAACATTGATTATCCGAACGGTTGTTTTGACAATAATTTTGATCAAAATGTTCATCAAAGTTCTATTATCGCGAATAATTTCAATCAAAACAATGATCAACTGCCATTACTTATCTACATGTTATCTCAACAACTTCAAATTATTCAAAATTTTTTATTTAACAATAACAATAATAGATATTAAATATTAATTTTAATACGATAGCTCAGTTATTTAGTTTTATCTTTTCATGTTTTTTTTTTTTTGTAAATCCAGTTGGACATATAATCAATAATAAACAAATTTTATGTGTTTATGTGATAATTATTAATATTAAAATGGTTTAATACAATTATAACTCAAATGATTCCGTCTTCAAGTTTGTTATTCATCAATTTTCTGTATTTTCATATAACAATTATTCATGTTAATTTGTTATTAATCTAACTATGGGATATTAAAATTTTGTCAAGAGCGCTTTATATATAGTAAATCTTTAAAATAAGTCAATTAGTTTTGTTCGATGCTCACCATAAATAGGAAGTTTTTTAAACAAAAAAATCAGCTTTGTTGGTAGTTCATTTTTGTTAAACCTCTGAATGCCCATTATTAAAAATAATATCTGTATTTATGATGTAAAGATTAATATTTGATAATAAAGAATTTCATTCTATGCACGTTATCTCTTTTTCAAAACTTTGTTGTCTAATGCAAAATAAGGAAATGTTCCAAGATAGAAAATATCAATAATTATATTTATAATTATAAAATTATTAAAGCATTAATTTTTTATTTTGAATCCATGATTTTTAAACACAAAATTGCTCTAGCTGCCTGTTCCAATCTGTTGAAATTGTTTGTCATGAAATGGAAAAAACTTATTCCGAAACAACAGTTGTGTGCTTGAACAGATAGAAATAGCCATGAGCTATGCACTCAAAATTGACCAACCTATACTGATAATTGCAATAACGAAAATGACAAAACTAAAGATTTTTGATTTGCGGACAGGTAATTATGATAATATATAATTTATTATGTTCATTAATCCAATCAATTACAGTAAATAACTAGCTAGTATTATCATGACCGTTTAGATTTAATTGAAAGTTTATTTCCACAAACGAAAATTATCCAGATGAATTGCCAAAACTTGATCAATTATAACGACAAAACTTAGGTTTTGGTTGTGAAAGCCTTTACAAACCCGTGTGGGGAAATAGAAATAAATTTTTTATATCACATCGTTACAAGTTAGTTGATAAGGATGAAACCGAAACCAATTTACGGGAAAGTTTAAAATTCTAAACTTTTACAAAACAAACTAAAAAATTTATCGGACAAAATTTTTTTAAATCAGAACCAATTTTGCAAAAATTATATCATCGAATAGATCATTACTACAGTAACAGTAGACTCCATTCCTGAAACCATTTCGGAGAGTTTTGGATCATAAATAAAGATATCAATAGATAGTGATAAATGGAAAATGAAAACTAGACAAATCATTAAACCCATAAATGTTTTACTATCAAATGAATCGGTTTGGTAAGTTCAGATCGAAAAAAAAGCACGAGGTGCCTTTTCTTCTAAGCTTGTATAAGTTTTTTTGCGTTTTAACTTATTGGTCAGCAGAATAATTTAAGGCCTAATTTTTGTTTTCCCCTTTATTCTTGATCAGTTCTTTTATCTCGTGGAAGCAATATATTGATTGTACTATTTTTCTCATGATATTCATACAAATGCTGAAAGGACCTACCTACTCCTGAAACTATAACAGAATTAAGAAAGACATCCGGAAATTAACTTGATGTATTGGGTGCAAAATAAATAACAATATCCTGCCTGCTGTTAAAAGTTTTTGCATCAACATTTCAAAATTGCACAACTAGGGAAGCTGTAGTTACAGTATATCACACACCCGTTATTTTTTATTATTTTTGTCTTGGCCTTCGTTTTCCTCGAATTTTCGAGTTTTCTTTTTTTGATTAAATAAAATAAAACAAATACACCAAGTTAAAAATTAGATTAATCAAAATAAGAGAATGCTGAGAAGTAATGAAGTATTCTAGTTATAGTTTATATCCTCTCAAAAGATACAAGCGATAAGCTTACCTTGTTGTTTGTTGAGTTGTCAGAAATTCGAAGCATCAAATGCTGATAATCTTGAATTGTTAAGATATGTTGTTCATAATTATCTATTTTGTTTTTGAGATCGCCATCTCTTTAGTATGTCGTCCATATATACATACAATGGATTTACAAGAAAAGTTACTTAACAGGGCCAACCTAATTTTGATAATATTAGTACTTATCAACATCAATAAGATCCTTTTTAAACAAATGAATAATTAGGCGGATTAACTCTTCCTCATCACATTTGGTAGTTTTGTAACTAATCTTTATCATCAACATTATTTGCTCTTGGAAACGATAATGTTGAAAATATACTAGATAGTGATTCTCGTTGCCAATTTTTTATCCATTATAATATATATATTAATATATAAATTCATTTCCTGGCTCCTATACAAAAAATGTTAGGGCTCAACGCATTTATAAAAGCAAAAATAATTAACTTCAATAGCAATTATTTGTGGTTGTGAAGAATTATATTCAATTAGTCCAGCTTCTTCAGCTACATGAAATGATTTCCTTGAATCAAAACTTAATACTTCACCAAGATATGCTTTAGTACCTAATCTTTTTGAATCCACATATTGTGTTTGATAAAGTATTTGGCACTTGACTTTTGTTTATAAGTTCTTCAATTTCAGAATTACAGTAGTTGGTATTATAAATCTTGTAATCATTACTTGAATTATTATATAATATAAGAATTCTTGAATTTTAAGAAATGAATAATATTAATGTTGAAGAGTCAAAACATCATTTTCAGGACAATATTTTCCATACAGGTTATATAAGTTGTCTGGGCCGTCCATAATAATAAATGCTTTGTTAATTTCATTAGCTCTTTTGATGTTTACTCCATGCATCTGTATGCCAATTCAATATCAAGTTTAGGAGTGTTAATTGAGAACCAAGATCTTTAATCCTACATCACATGAAATATTACTGAAAGGGTTACTGACATTAATACTCCAAAACTATAAATATCTGGTGTCATTGTATATGGTTCAAGTCTTATTTAGTATTTCAGGTGTCAAATATGGTAACATTCCTACTATGCTGTTTTTAATTGTTGATGAATAAATAGCATTATCATGTTTTTAATTGAAGAATGTTATCACTATATATAAAGATCATAAATATCATGATGAATAGAAACCACCTGTTTATTAAATGATCCTGATGATTTTCATAAACGAATAATCTTTTGCAATAGGGTCTTGAAAAAATTTAAATAAATATTGATTTTAGTTATAACATGAATTAGATTTAAAATTATAACAAAAAAAATATTATTTTACCTTGTTTAAAAATTCATCGGAATTCAAAAATAGAATCTTATAGATATGTGTCTTATATAATCATTTATTCATGTATGAATGTAAAGGACAATTGTGGATCACATGATTGATATCTGAACATTTACACCGAGTAAAATTATAGTGGCAAGTACAATTATAAGTTCTGCCACCCAACCCAAAAAAGGCATGCAAGTTAAATAACTTAAATAATTGTACCATTACTCATTGCACGAAGTGTACTCCATCTAATACTAACTTAAAAATTTTTGTAATGTGATACGGATTATGCGAGATCTTGTTTTTTTTATAAAAAATAATAAATATGAAAGGGAATAATAATTCAACAAATTCGACAATAGAAAATAATAGCAATAATAATAATGATAGCAATAATAATAAATTAGAAGTAGATAAAGGAAAATTAACAGTTAGTAAATTGACTACGTCAGCAAAAACATTGTTTAATGAGGTAATATCCACAACCACCACCCCAAATTTAGAAAATTTTGTAAATAATAATAGTAATGGTTTTATAAAACCAAGTTCATCATCCATAATAAATAATATTAATAGTAATGGTGGTAGTAGTATATTTAAACATCAAGGATGGAAAGAACATATTTCAAATCAAAATCAAAGTAATAGTAATAATAACAATAATGATTTATATTTAGAGGATTCTATATCAGAGTTTCGTTCCTCTGGCGAAGAAGAAAAATATCAAAATTGGATAAATGATAATAATTATAATTATGGAGACGAGTATAATGATTATGATTATGGAGACGAGTATAATGATTATGATTATGTGAATACAAGTAGGTCAATTCAAGAAAAAGAAGATGATGATGACGGAAGAGAAATTATTGAATTTTTAAATTCAAATAATTACACAAGTGAAATATATGATAATACTGTAGAAGAAGAAGAAAGAGAGATTGCTAATATTGATGCCAATGCAAGTAGTCATAGTTATAATTATAAGGACGTTGAAGGATTTTTAGAGTCTGAAGATATTTTGGAATATTTAAAACAAACAAGATATACAGATGATGTCTACGGAATACCTAAATTTATAAAGAAACTGATTAAAGAAGCAAGAGATGAAATGCTAAATGATAATGATCAAAACAATCCACATCAAAAAACTGCATTGGAAAGATTAAAAATGATCAGAGATCATTTATTAATGAATAGAGATGGATTAGAGAAAGGTAGTTATAATATTAATATTATTGATAGTGGCATGAAAAATATATTGTAAATTTTATTATCATGAAGGCTACACACATATACATATATAATATGTAATAAGGATTTAGATCAACATATTAGATATTTTTTTATTGTACTTTACTGATATAAAATTAAATGTCCAAAGAAATATTGTTGACTATGGTAATTTATTATTTGCAAATTGAATTTTAAATTTATTGAATTTTTAATAATAATAATTATGATGATACTTTCTTCTCATAAAGGATGGTCGTTTTTAATCATGCACACATCAGAAATACTAGTCATTTAGATTTTACTGATAAATAGGGTTATGACAATGGTAATATATACAATAATCTATAATAATCATGAATATATACAAAATTACGATAATATTATTTTTATTATTATTAAATGTAGAATAGCAATTGCGCCACCTTCAAATGATGATGACGAGGATTTCAAATAAATTGATTTTCATATTTTATTTTATTTTCTTTAAAAAATAAAATAAAATCAAAAGTTAATTAACTTAGTATCAGAACAATTGAAAGAAGGTCTTTAGTAACAATAAATCACAAATACAAATATCACCACTACCACCACCTCCATTATTACCATTTTCAACACCCATTTTCAATAATAAATAATATTAGTATTATTATTAATTTTAATATTGCAAATGATGATGATACTATTCCAAATCCAAATCCAAATCCACAGAATCTCCTATCTTTTAATTCTATCTTTCTTCTAATAATCTCTTTGTAGAATAATTTTTTCCTCGATTTCTTTACATCTTTCCTGTGATTTCTGATCTTTTTTTTTGCATACATGTTACTTTGCTTTTATGTATTTTAGCTTGCCTTTTGATTCTCTATTCATTTAATTAAATTAGAAAGTATTGATTAATTTAGTAATTAGTTTAGTAGTTAACAAACAATCAAAATAATCAAAAATAATGATAAGCGCTTTATTTTTTTTATCACAATCACGCAAAAGATTAGTATTTTCAGCTAAAAGCATGCGGTCATTTCCTTTAATATCATAATAGTGTAGGTGCATATAATTTAAACGAGAGAAATATTAAACCATCATCATACTTCAGTTACACATTAATCTGAAAATCACCCACGATTCTTTCATAATATTATACTTTCCCAAAAATGGCATGTAAGACAGATCGTAGTTTTGAAGCTAAGACCTTTGTTACATTGCTTGTATAACTTGAAGGAGGTATTTAAGGACAATGAATTTGATGTTCTTATAAAATATTATTTTAAAAATCATCTCCTTTATTAAAAATATAATCCGTTGAATAATTGATTCGCGAAAATAATAATTTACAAAAGAAGTTATTAGCCTGGAAAAGCAATTAAATATTTAAGGAAAAAGTGAGAATTTTATTCAGGAACTCCAGAATAAAGTTAAAAATTAGAAAGGCAAAAAAACCTGAACTGATAAAACAGAAGAAAAAAGCAAAATAGTGACCCAATAAAAACAAACAGAATTAAGCCAACTAAGTGAAAAGGCCAAAATGAATAAGATTAGCATGAATTTATACTATTAGTTTGACTTTACAAGATTATTTTTCTGCTAATTCAGAATACTCGGAACTTTTAATTTTGATTGGACGATCAAATTGTATAATCATATGACTTAAATCAAAATAAATTTAAAATTTATTAAATCTTTCTTTTTTTTTCTTTTGAATTTGCAATGAATTCTACCACTCCAAATAACCCACCAAAATCGTTTGTCAACTTGTTGAATTGGCATTTAATATGTATTAAATTACCAACAGACCAAAAAAAACTTGTATGTATTATATGTATATATATATACGCATTTATATATATATAATTACCAATTATTCAAAAAAAAATTTCTGGGACATTAAGTTGCAAGTAGATACAGAACATTGGATATCAGTGCGTGGAGAAAGAAGAATTTCTGATAGTTTACTTGTATGTATGATGTATAATTTATCAAAATAAATGTTTATGGTAGTTATATAACTGTAATATATTTTTTAAATTTGATTGTAGCAATGGCATTCATCGCTAATAACCGAAAGAATAGATACAAAAGTGATAAAGACGATAAAAAATAGTTATTATATATTGGAAGGAGAACCATCATTAACTCCAATGATTGAAGATGGTCACTCAGTAATTTAAATTAACCTTTTGAAGGAATAATTTTTTTTTTATTTAATTTTATTAAATTTTGTGTTTCTAGGATTTTCGTTGGAATTGTGTGAGGAATTTAAAAAAGGTTTTCCCGAAAATTGGAAAGAAGCATTGATTCGTGAATATAATCAAGAACCGTTTGAAAATCTTGAATATTCATGCCAAAAGGCAAATGTACAAATTGATATTATTGGATCTAAACTCAAACTTGATGAAAAATTGAGTAATGATGATGATGATGATGCTAAGAATGATATCAATAATGATAATATTAATTATGATATTAATAGTGATATTATATTTAATGTTAATTGTGACATTAAGCATGATAATATTAATCATAATATTAATCATGATCTTAATAATAATGATAGCATTGATATTAATAACAAAAATGATGATAACAAAGTTGGCGATAAAAAAGATAATGATAAAGAAGTTGGTGTTGATGTTAATCTTTATGAGGAAAAGAATGAAAAAACTGTTGATAATAACAACAATAACAACAATGTTGTTGAAATTGAATGTAATAAAAGTTCTGAATCTGAGGCAAAGACCAAATCTGGTCGTTCTGTTCGACCTCCTGGTACATGGTGGAAAATAAAACACACAGTTAAAGAGAAAGTTACAAAATTATCAAGACCAAGAAAACAAAAATCTGCTGATTCCAATTCTGGTAATTATTCTATACTTTTAAAAAAAAATTTTTTCCAATAATAATAATAATAATAATAATAATACTATTATTATTATAGATTTAAGTGGTTATGACCAGACGAATAAAAGTAAAAGAAATGTATATTCTTTTAGTAATGCTAAGCGTCAAAAGCTTTCAAATGTGTTTGGTGAGAAAGGTATTATAGTATTATCATCATTATTATAATTTTAAATATATTTATCAATTTATTTATTTATTTTCTAATTTAAACAACATTGCAAAGTACCTTCATCATCATCCACTTCACCAATATATAATTGTCTATATTTTTGTAAAGATCTAGTCAACAATGAAATTTTTTCTTTACTTTCCATAGTTTTGATTTGAACTTCAGCGATGCTTTTTTTATTTTTTGGATCTTGAAATTGTACGGCACCAATCATCTTCTCCGAGCCTTCTTTAAGTTTTCGTTCAACATCAAGCTTGAATTCAAGTTCATGAAGTTTCAATGAAACCTTTTGTGGTGTGATTGGTGTACTTGATTTTATAAGGTCTGTGTAATGGTAGAAATTATCCAGAAAAGAGAGAATCAGGATGATCAGTTCTAATATAATGTTTTATTTTTTTACTCTAATTTTGATCTAAATTATTACTAATATTACTAATTTTTCTATTATTATTGAATTAGGAAATAAAAAACTTGCCTAAATTAGATAGAGCAGGCCTTTTATGTGGTGTATGCAGTGATGAATTTTTTTGCTGCTGCTGCTGCTGCTGTTGAAATTGTTGCTGTTGATTTAAATTTTGTTGTGGTGGATATTGATAAGGTTGACCATAATTATTATTATTGTTGTTATTATAGCCAACTTGTGGTTGTTGTTGTTGGTAAGGATCTTGTTGTGGGTATTGGTATTGTAATTGTTGTTGATTTGGAGGAGGAGGATATGAGTAAGGTGAATTAGTAGCAGATTGAGGACTCATTGGTGATGGTGATTGCAGCTGTTGTTGAGGTTGATAATATCCACCACCACCATATCCAACTTGTGAAATATTATTTTGTGATTGTGGGGGAGGGAATTGTTGTTGTTGTGATGGTGTAGGAGGAAGAGGACTACCGCCACTATTAATAATACCGCTTTGTTGTTTAAAATGCAATTTTTCTAATTCATTTGTTAAATAATCAATATTCCTCGAAGAATCTTCAATGTTACGTTCACATTGAGCTTGAACTACTGTATTGGGAGTTTGTGACTTTACTTTAATGGCTGCTTGGCGAATTTGTTCTTCTTTTTTAATTTTATCATTAACAGACTTGATTTTTGCATCAAGGTCCTATAATCAAACAATATACAACATGCAAAGATGAGTAAATATAAAAATACTTTGTTAAATATAAAATATTTCCTTTGAACTTTAATTAATAAAAAAATAACCATAATTATACTTACCGCCATCGTAATACTTGGTGGGCGATGAGAAGAAAATTATTAAATTTTTTTTATTAATACTTTTGAATTACATATATGTATGTACAAACACATTCATAATCGAGGTAACATCATGTGTAACATGTTTCCCATTTTAATTTTTAGTTAAGTTACTGTAATCTACGAAAGATCCAGGTAAGATTAATACGTAAATTTTCTCTTCAAAATCGAGACACAACTACATCTAGATACTGTAATCCAGTAGGAGATACTCATTGGATTTTGCAATATTCAAATCTGAAAATTTGTTATCCCAGGATTCTCCATTTATCATGGCACAAGGTTGCCATCAATATTTTCTCAAGCCATTGAACCTCATAAAGAATAAAGGTTAGCGCCGTTAACCGTCTAGCCCATCAATATTGGTGTTGCAAATTTCTATCTAACCAGAATGCATATAGAGATAAATGCATAATCTATACATTAATACATTATGTGTAATGCTGCCATCGGAGTTTCTTGCTGCTCTAGAGAGTATAAACCTTTACTTTGGGCGGGAATTATGACTAGAATTTCTATTCGCAATACAGATTCTTCTTTGAATTATTCGTAATAGTAATAATGATAGAAATACCACACAACCTTATGTAATTCGAACTGATTCGTTTTATTCGAATTATCATAACGAACAAAATAAATAATTACTATTCGAATAGAAACTTTACTATGACTATTTGCTAGTAGGAAAAAAAATTTTTTTTATCATCGCTACAAATGAAAAGGCTAATTACCACACTATTATTATTAATTGACTAAAGAAAATTACTTTTGCTACTACTATTATTGTCACTACAAGGACCACGAAAGAAAAATAGAACTGGTCTATCTGGTACGATTACTCGACAGGACGTTTCCCTGACAACTCATTTCACTA